TCAAAACTGATGATACATCCTCGTGCAACTATGAGGCACTGCGTGAGCAAGTAAAATTTATGAGAAGGAAAAATGGAATAGGAAAAAAGTAGAATGGAGATTAATGATGGACAACAGTATAAACACAAGTATGAAAACACACACAAAGCCACTTAAGATACTAGCAGAAGGTCATTCTCTCTCCCTTATGGTTTGAAGCTCGGTAACATATCCTGATTTGGCTGTTATTTACAGAGGCTTCCAGTGTCGTTCTATTGCCCTGTTCCCTCTGGCTTTTTATGAATGCCAGCCATGGAGAACCACAACACTGGGAAGTTCCAGTGCAGAGCTCAAGGGAGCATCGCAGATAATTACAAACCTCTCACTGATGTCCTGCACTGACAGACAGACAAGAATGGCAGAATCACAGAGGCAGAAACCATTGAACCGAGAGACCCATGTGAGTAGCTGGAATGATGTAAAACAGAATCAGCCTGACATGAGCTTATTTCAACCTGTTCAGCCTTTCCTGCTGATCACATTTAATTTTTAAATAACTGCTTTACTTTTCTAACAGAGCTACTTAAGACAGAAAGTGCGGGTTGTTTCAGGTCAAACTCGCATCTTTATTTAAAGAACAACTCATGAAATTATACATTTCTGATTCAATTCTAATATAAAAGCTTAAGGACTCTGAAAACGTACATGGACAGTTCACACAAAAAAGACAAGGGTCACAATTTACTCACCCTCTTGTTGTTCTAAACTTGTCTTTTGAACAATTAAAAATGTATCACTTATTATTTATTTTTTTTTTCATACAATGAAAGTTAAAGGTGCCAAATGCTATATTTGGACCGAAATGACTTAAAATATCTTTAAAATATATAACAAATTATATGAATTATAAATATAGTTTGTTCCCATGATAGCAAAGCTGAATTATCAGCAGCCATTACTTCAGACTTCAGTGTCTCGATCCTTCAGAAATAGTTCTGATTTGGTGATTTGCTCAAGAAACTTTATTATTATCAATCTCATTATTATCAATGTTGAAAACAATTACAGGATTCTTTAATGAATAGAAAGTTAAGGAAAACAGCATTTATGTGAAAAATAACTTCATTAATTAACTATTTGATTTAAAACCTTAGTCTAGTATTTGATGTTCAGTGGACCTATTGCTCTATTTTGTTATTTGATTATCATCATCACTACATCATCAGCATCACTGATCGCATGTGATTTGCTATTGCTAATTACTCCATCAGTGAATGTCACCTTTTATGTGCCAAGCTCTCCTGCCTGTATGTGTGTGTGTGTGTGTGTGTGTGTGTGTGTGTGTGTG